TCTTGGGGATGGCGCACAGTTAAAACAGCCGACTAATGTGCTTCTACTAGAAAGAGACAAAAAAGCACTTCCATAGTCTCATCTTTGATCTTAGACTTTAGTTGTTTGCAGGCTTTAGACCTTTACTGCTACATGACTTAACCAAAAAAAGGCTAAGCAATCCATTCAGTCCAATGAGAATCTATTCCACCATGTTTCATACACAGCAACAGTGCCATGAAAACCCCAGTTCATTTGAATTACTTGTTTTATCTAGATTTGTGACAAATGCCAAGTCATTCATGACCCCTTAAAAGGAAGAAAGTGACCATAGTAAGGCACACTGCTTCATCTCCACCTTCAACCACTTCTGATAGTAGTACCTCTAAAATGGACATTGGAGAAACAGAATGAGCTGGTAAGATGTGAGACAATTTGGAGGTGTTCTGGCTTATAAATTGAACTGTTCTTTTAACATACTCGATCCTTTGGCAAAAAGGCAGATAGCCTCATAGCATGTAGTGCTGGTGGTGTTGTCATCAGTTCAGGTAGCCCCTCAAGCACCCAAGTGCTTGGCAAGGCACAAGAGATAGTCATGCACTTGTGTGCTCCATTCTGGTATATTTGTGCTGCTATACACTACACTTTCAGCATCCTATAGCTTTGGTCACCTGGCTTTACTGTGAGGTCCTGGCACCCGCACCGATGTAGCTTTTAGGCCACAAAGGTAAAACTGAGGTGGCCAAATCTGCTCAGGCTAGTACACACAGATGGAACAGTGACATGCATAAAAGTTTCAAACTTTTCTTGGTTATCCCTGTAGGCAGGAGCTACTACAGTAGCTACTTCATGAAAGAATCAAGTCATCCCCCCCCCAACTTGGGCAGGAAGCTGGGATGCTTTTAAGGCCTTTATATACACCTATATTTAAGACAAACACTGATGGAATTGTTTCTAATTCCACTGAGCCAGTTAGGCTGCTGACAACACTGTTACAGTGACCTTAAATCTAATACTAGAGCTTTTTGGTAACAGATTATTTCAGGTGTTCTAGTAAAAGCTAGGTAGTCCAAATAGAAAAGTTTTCCTTTTTTCCTAATAGCTCTTAATGATCAACTGATCCATGTATACCATATCTTGCCGATAGAAAATTTCTGCACTGGTTTCTATTATACTTATTCTTAATACCAGTTATGATCAGATGGATCACTTTGAGGGCTTTAAGAATTGTCCAGCAATAAGACAGCCTGAAAGAAAAGACAGAAGATCAGCAGCCTCTGCCCCCTCGTATGAAAGCTTGCCATGACCCAGGTTTAGAGGAAGAGCCTTTAATCTGCTCAAAACTGCAGAAGTAGTGCTGCAATTCATCCCAAACCTATCAAAAAGGTACTCAAGTGAGATCTGGGCTTTGCCTCATCCCCATCTGTCTGAAGAGGTCATAGCAGACAAGAGATATGCTAAACCCAAGTCTTTAAACCCCCCCACCACCACAATATAGAAGTCCTTAGATTTGATAATTAAAACTTATACTTAATCTGTACAGATGGAGAAATTACTTAAGAGCTACAGAGTCCTGCAGGACAGGTGAGGGGAAGAAGAGAGCAAATCCCTCCTTTAGTAGATTCTCTACTCCAACTTCGAGAACTAGGTGGCTTGGCAGAATGCTTGGGAGGACAAAACTCAGACCCAGAATTTGAGTTGCAGGGTGTCACATGCAAGTCAGACTCAGAGTATATCTTAGTGTGGACTCAACTTCACAACAAGCTATAGAAAAAGGAAAATATTGTTTTCACTTACCAAGCTGCTCTAGACGTTCTTTTTGTTCCTCCCTCCATTTACGGATGCTCTCTGGTTCTGACTGTAGTCGATCTACTTGTGATATGGCAGCATAGCAATCTGTTGGACCATTGCTCTCCTTAAACAGAGGAAAGGGATTATTTAGTCAGTTAAGAGCAGGCTCTTTAAGTATTTCAGAGCCATACTTAAAAAGCACAGACGAAGAAGTCAAAGACCTTTCAGTTGTTTGAAGTTGCAAATGTACCAGCACCTCCGGATCTAACACCACAAGCTAGATTCGGATGATGGGCAACTGACACTGGAGCCTTCAGCATTAGAGGAAGTACCAACAATCTACTTCCAGGAGATGGCAACATATGGTCAGTTAAACCAGGTAGAAGGTTCAAATAAAACAGGGGCTTGGGGGAGGAGGATAGGCATGAGCAGAAGAGAGAAAAACAAGATGTTCAAAGCACTACACAACATCCATCCTCTGCACCCATATGCTATTGCACATAGGACAAAATCAAAACAGTTATTTCATCATTCCAAGGGACAGAACACCTGGATTAGAACTAGGAATTACTCATTTCTCTCTCTCTCTCCTGTGTCAGATGAAGGACTTGCTCCTGCCTCCCATTCCAGCAAGTTGCCAGATATTATCTATTCCCCCTACCCCCCTCACATGGAAAGCCTTTTGCTGGAGCAGCCACTAAAAAGTTCACATCCAGTTGCAGATGAAGTGTTTTTAAAATTAAGTGGATGGTTCTCAGTTCTAGATTACTGCAGTCAAATGGACTACCTGGTAGGCAGGCCCTCTATCCAAATCTTTCACTCAAGTTGCTTTTGGAAAAAACCCACAAACAAAACAAAAAACAACCCCTCCCCCCCCCAAAAAAAACCAAAAAAACAACTCAGAAGCCAACTTGGCATATTAAAGAGGTAATGCAGACAAGCAGAGAGAGACTTATGCAATGATCAGTTTAGTGTTAGGACACAATCCAATGAAGACAACATTTATACTTCATAGAGTTCTATAGTATCTTGGCATAAACCGGAACAGTAATTCTTACTATTACTATTCTTTTTGTACTCCAATACCAGCACTTCATTAATAAGAAGTTGTGGAGCTTGGGCTCATGGCTGCCATCCCAAGGCAAGGCACATTCCAGTTAAATTCTGGTGTTAACATAAATTGCTGCTATAAACTTCTCATACTTTAATTAGAAGTAAAGCATACCTGAAGCAGCTATAGAAACTGGAAAGATTAAATCACACCATTACCAATTGTATTGCTAATGAATATAAGCAACAGGAAGCTCATAGCAGCTTTAAGCTATGAAGAGCCCTACTATTGAGAAGGAACACCTCTAGGAGATAACATCTTGTAATACGTTCTGCTTGGTGAAATGGTTTTTCAGCTTACCTGGTAGAGTTCACCATTCAACACTCCCTCAACTGCATCTGCAAGATAGTGATAGCAGGTCAGATGGCTCTGTTAAGAAGCCCAAGTCAACTACAACAATTAATTGCTACTGCAGGCCTCGGATGTGGTTAGTGACTGAAAACAACAAGGGCAGACTCCAGACCTAGCTTAAACTTCAGTTATGACCATACGTGCCTGCATTTTATCTGTAAGCAGTATTACAAAATGGTAATAATAATAATAAAAAAGTTGGTCAAGGTAACCAGCACCTAGCTTGGCCCAAACAACTGCTTTTTAAAAGAGACCAAAAAGAAGAGCTGCAACAGCCTGATGGTCTTATCTTTTGATGCAACCCAAATCATGTTAGATGGCGTGTTTATACTTCACACACAGTCACTTGTTGCTAGCACCGATCATTTTTTAAACAGGAGGCCCCAAAAGCCTGCTTTGAGCGACCTCAAAAGTGAGCCTTTGCAGGCATGATAACTAGCTTGGTCAGCCAAGGAAAGAGTATAATTTACATGTCCAGTTCAACTAGATCAGACTGAATAAAGCACAGGCCTGAAAGAAAGTTATGGGTAAAGACAGACCTTAAATTAGATAATCCAAGATACAGTATATTGCAACTTTAGCTTACGATTTGCGCAGCCAAATGTACTGAATAGTTTTATGGTAGATGTGTGTGTGTATATTACAAGTCGCTGAAGAAACTACACACGTCAATGAAGGTAAGTCAGGTGGAGGGATAAATATGGAATCATGGAATGCTGTGTCACCAAGAAATAAGGCTATAAATCCAAAACTGACACCTTCCAAGTCCATGAGAGAACAGGCTAAGTTCAGTATCAAGTTTCAGTGAGGTGGGAAGGGGGTGGGAAGAGAAAGATGAACAAAGTTAAAAGTCTAAGAACAACTATTAGAAAGAGTCACCTAATAAATGTAGGATATAGGCTAAAGGGGAAAAAAGGGGTAACTCCCCAAATTCCAGACTACTTGCTGTTACCTAAACCACTTCCAAGCTTCATAAAAGTAGGGTCAGAAGGGACCTTTCAGATCTTCAAGTCCGACCCCCTGCCTAGGCAGGAGGAAAACTGGGCTCAAATGCCCCCAGCCAGGTAGGCATCAAGCCGCTTCTTAAAGACCCCCAGGATAGGAGCCAGCGCCACTTCCCTTGGAAGTTGGTTCCAGATCCTAGCCGCCCTGACAGTGAAGTAGTTCCTATGGATGTCTAATCTAAACCTACTCTCCAACAACTTGTGGCCATTATTCCTTGTTATCCCGGGGGCGCTAGGGGAAACAAGGTCTCCCCCAAACCCTTCTGGTCCCCCCTAGTGAGTTTATAGACACTCCCCAGGTCCCCCCTCAGCCTTCTCTTGTGAAGGCTGAACAGGTTCAGGTCCTGTAGTCTCTTATTGTAGGGTCTGCCCTGCAGTCCCCAGATCATGCGAGTGGCCCTCCTCTGGACCCTCTCAACGTTGTCCACATCCCTCTTGAAGTGGGGCACCCAGAACTGGACACAGTACTCCAGCTGCGGCCTGACCAGTGTCGCATAGAGGGGGAGGATCACCTCCTTGGACCTACTTGAGATGCACGAAGAGGTCTGGTTAGCCCTGCTGACTGTGACCTCGCATTGTCAGCCCATGTTCATCTTGGAGTCAATGACGACTCCAAGATCCCTTTCTGCCTCCGTGCTCTGAAGAGGGGAGTTTCCCCATCTTATAAGCGTGCTGCTTACTACTGCCCAAGTACAGCACTGCACTTGTCAGTATTGAAACACATCCTGTTTGTTAGCCCACCCCTGCAACCTATCCAGGTCTTTCTGCAGTCTCTCCCTCCCTGCTAATGTGCCCACCTCTCCCCATATTTTGGTACCATCAGCAAATTTGAACAGGTTGCTTTTCACCCCGTCATCCAAATTGCTGAAAAAAGAAATTGAACAGCGCGGGCCCAAGGACCAAGCCCTGGGGGACTCCGCTGCCCACTTCCCCCCAGGTCGAATATGACCCGTCCACCACCACCCTCTGAGTATGACCCTTCAGCCAATTCACAATCCATCTGACCATGTAGGCATCATTTTTTAATGAGGATGGGGTGGTCAACAGTGTCAAAGGCCTTGCTGAAGTCCAGAAAGACTACATCCATGGCAACACCTGCATCCAATGCTTTTGTGACCCGATTGTAAAAGGCAATCAGGTTGGTCTGACATGACCTGCCCTTAATGAAACCGTGCTGGCTGCCCTTGAGCATCATCCCTGATGCCAGCCCATCACAGATATGCTCCTTGATGATCTTCTCAAAGAGTTTCCCCAGGATTGAGGCAAGACTGATGGGCCTATAGTTGCCCAGGTCCTCCCTTTTTTAAAGATGGGGACCACATTGGCTATCTTCCAAGCATCTGGCACCTGGCCCGAGCACCACGAGCGCTCGTAAAGCCATACCAAGGGCCCTGCAATAACCCCTGCTAGCTCCCTCAACACCCTGGGGTGGAGAGCATCTGGACCTGCTGATTTGAACATGTCTAGCCCCTCCAGTAGCACTCTAACCTGGTCCTCCTCAACCTTAGGTCTTGAGGCATTCCCCTCGAGTCCATCTTGAATCATGGTGGGGGAGTCCCTGTACAAGAAGACAGAGGTGAAGAATTTGCTTGGGAGAGTCTGTATTAAAGACATATTAAAATTGTGAGGTAGCTAGATGGCTGTTGGAATGAGCATCTGTTAAACTATCTCAGCTCCTCCAGGGAGTGTGTGGAGGGGTGGGGTAGGGGGTGGCTGCTGCACACAAGAAGGTCAGGCTGCAGATTGGTCTAGTGTTCTTTTCTGACTGGGCAATGATAATTTAAGGGAATTTTAACTGTCCCTTAATTCTACATCTAAGCTTGCAAATAGTTCCAATCAAGTGGGCTGTAGTTTGGTCTCCACAGGCTGAACAATGGAGTTTGTTAACACTACAGAGCAAATGTATGAAAATTGTTTAAAATAAATTGAATTATGGTAGGCCACAGAGCTGCCCTGGCAAGCTTTCTGTGGTCTGCAAGTTATGCACCATGGTGTTAGTACAGGTACTTGTGCATTTTCCCCAGCTGGCCACAAGAGGGAGAAGATTCCCAGCGAGTGCTTAGTCCTTTGCTTTTAATACCAGATTTCAAGCAAAAGCTGGTAGCCAGGTTAGCCAGCACTGGCCCATGTCATGACTTCACATAAATAGAAGATGGAGATGGTACTGTGTATAACAGTCGGAATTGGACAGAGGGGACAGTAAAACACAACAACTCAAAAGTATAGCTAAAGTGGAGCTATTATACCGTCTTGAAAAAGCAGCTAGTTTACAAATACATATTTGACCATACTATGTTTATAACTAGTGGGACTCCAACTACTATTGGGAAATGGAGACATCAGGACCAACAGTCGTAAATTCCTTAGTTCTAGACTGGGGTGGACCACCTGTGGGCCAAGTGTCACAAATGATATTGGCAACTTCTGTTTGGGGCACACAAGATCCAGGGAGGGGACAGGCAGCACAGCAGCAGACCAAGCAGGAAGCAGAAAAAACACCAGAAAGCAGAACAGCAGACTGGGCAGAGGAAGGAGACTGGAGTGGCATTTGGGGAAGAGTGCTAATTTATGGTCCATCTGCCAAAAAGGTTGGCACTTACTGCCTTACTCTGCGAGGTGGAATTCTAGTGTATGCATACACTTGGCAGAATTCGATCTTTTTTAAAGTTGATTAGTTTATTTTTAAGCATTTGTTTACACTGATTTAAAGTTTTCAGGGTTGCACAGTTTAACTCCCCCTGTGAAACAGTTCTGTAGGACTGCTCCCCCAGTCAATACCACACATTCCATCAGCCATCATTCTTCCTACATCCCCTTTCTATAAGTTTTGGTAATTAAACAATATAAAATATTTCTGTCATCTGAGAGGCAAAAATGATGTTCATCACTGTTTGCTGATAACTACAGAATCATGCTAAGCCTAATAGTGTGCCATGCAATCATCATACACCCATCTTACTATACCAGGCTGTTAACTCCCCATTTCAGCTCCAATTCTATTACTAACTTTCTAAAACCCCAACAACTCCCTTTTGGGGATAGACAGATCTCAAATTTGATCACAAAAGTGGAAACAAGTTTTGCCTCTGACTTATAATCCTATGTGGACAAGCTCTCCCATTTTAGCTACAAGTTTCCAGGTCCAAAAAACCTCAAAGCATAGAATGAGTTTTACCATAAAAAAAAAAAAAAAACAAAAAAAAAACCAACAACAAAAAGACAAAACAAAACAAAAAACCCAAAACTCACATGGCCAGGCCTCATTCTTTGCACCTAAATTCAGTATACTTAACAGCATTCCCCACCCTCAAACCAGCCTAAGAGATGGTCTTAACATTCAAAACTGAACCTTAACCCAACCATCTTTACAGTTCATATTATCCCAGATATCCTACTGGGGTCTAATGAGTGCACACTGACCTTGACCATCTTTCCCCACTTAAAAAACAGCTTTGTTGCTCATGATGGTTGAAAAGTATACAGGCAAGCTATTTTCATCAGAGTTTTACAAACAGTTTGAAAGAACCATCTGATAACTTCTGCTTATGCCTCTCTATTTGGAAGCAGTCCTAGAGAAAGGCCTTTTAGGCAGGGGTGCACCAATATATCAGTTTGGCACCAGGAAGAGGAAAATTACTGGCTATTGGGGTTTTTTGGCTAGTGTAGCCAATAAATATAATATGCTTTCTGGCTGGGGACCCCAGATGCCACATGCATGCATGCAGCCACAGCATGCACATGACCAAGAATGCAGCTGGACAGCATGGAGAGCAGTGCCATGCAGGTGGGGGGGGGGGGGGGGGGGGGGAAGGGCGCAGATGGAGGACCCCACAGTGAGGGAAGAAGTGGGGCAGGGGCCACTGCCCAGCCAGGGTGATGAATGGGACCCAGGGCCAGGGTAGGGAGTAGAACAGAGCCACAGGAGGCTCTTCCGGGAATGGGCTGCTGCATGCACCCCCCTGGGGAGGCATGGGCAGCATGTG